TATTCTTCTTCTTTTGGTCCCCCTACATGCCCTTGACGGAGATACGCCACAGGATCATACTGTCCTTGAACGCGCAAGAGAAAAGGAGCGTAAGTTGGCAGAGTTACGAAGACTGCGTCTGGCACGCGAGAGGGAAGAAAAGGACGCTGAAAAAGAAGAAGAACGCGCACAAAAAGCTGTGGCTCATCAGAATGCAGGGGATGTGGCCATTGAAGTGAAAGACTTGCCTAGGATTTTGGTGGATCAATCGTCACCGCATGCTGACGGGCATTCCGTGCCGTATGATAATTCCCTGCAGCACAAAGACGGGGAAAAAGATGATGAAGATGGTGAGGAAACAAAACACCGCAGGTATCTTCCTTTGGACCCCGAAGCGAGTCTTTTTGAGGCGGATGATTTAATTCCAATTGAAGGGGGGGATGACGATGCTTCCCGAAACGGTTGGCAACGGTTGGGTAATACTTCTATCGCCACTAGAGTGTCGGTCTCCAATGTTTCCTTGGCGGCTCGTAGGAAAGACAATGAAGGCGCCGAAATGGATTTTATTACGCGTGAATTGTCGACATACGATCGGCCACACGTTGAGACTATCACTGTCTGTGGTGAAGTCTTTGTTACGCCCGTTTATGAGACATCATTTTTGCTGAGCTTGACGTATGTGGATTTGTGGCTGCTTTTTTACACCGTATTTGCCGTTTGGGGCGTTGGCATAACGTTGACAGCGAATTGGAACATCCGAATTATGGTTGGTAGCGTCTTCAAGGGTTTGGATTACCAAACGTATGTTCTTTTTGCCACTTTGGCAGGTATTTCAACTGCGTTTGGTCGGGTGGCTATTGGTGGGTATGAGGTTCTTCTGCTTTACATCGGTAAAAGGAGAGGTGTTATGTTGCCCGCTACTATCGCACTCCCTGTGCCCAGTGTGATGTTGTCACTGGCTCTCATCTTTTACCTTTCCTTTCCTGGAAATTATTCACTTCTCGTGGTTTATGTAATTGCCGCCGTCGCCTACGGTTTCAGCACTTCAATGACCATATATGTCATTGGTATTATATTTAAGCGTGACATTGGAATGCACTACGGGTTTTGCTTCTTAGGTGCCGCCCTTGGCATTGTGTTGCTGTACCGCGTGCTCCTTTTTCATGTGTATGATCATCACAAATTGGTTTTACCCCCCAGTTTACACGTGAATACAGGAGGTGTTTGCGTGGGAAAGGAATGCCTGCAGAAGACACTGATTGTGTACCTCATTCTTGTCGTTTTGTCTATCGGCACGAGTATCTGGCTGCACTACCGCTACTGGAAGTTGGTTCACGGCAAACTGAAGCATAAGCGCGTTATAACACACTTTGTGAAGAAGCGTCTTCGCCGAATAAATAGAAGAAGAAGGGAAAACGGCCACGCAACAGAGGGAGGGGCACAACAACAACACGAAGAAGAAGAGGAAGAAAAGTGATAGCTCTTTTTTTTATTATTTTATTTTTCAAATTATTTGCCACAATCACCTTGGTGAAGATATTTAATATGATATCTGATATTTTTGTTTACTTTTTTCGTCTAACACACCGCTTTTTATTTTTATTTTTATTTTGTTTTGTACTTCCTTTTCTGTCTGGATTAGTTGTTTTGTTTACTTTTTATTATTATTATTATTATTATTGCCCACCTAATCCGTATTACCAACGAATAAAAAGCCCTTAAATTTATTTTTGAAGAAAGAGCTGTAGGGAGGGGCGGCAAAGTCACGAAGAGCGGATATCCATCGGTGTGTGTGTGTGTGTGTGTGATGATGATGATGATGATGATGATGATGGATTAACAGAGATGTATAACTGAGAACAGAGAAGACAGGGGGATGGGAAGGAGAAGGGCGCACACAGCGTCATTCCCCTTGTTAGCAGTGTCGTTGTGTGCGAGATGCCCGCCAAAGGGGCTGGTGGACGAGTCATTTTTTTAAACGGTTTAGCCCCTAGAAATATATTGTGACCGGTTTAATGAAGGATGCAAAGGTTTTTTTTTTTTTTTTTTTGCCCCGTGTTTGCATCGCCGATACGTCGCTGATGCTGTTGTAACTTCTTTTTTTTTTTTTGTGTGTGTTTTTCTCAATACGTTCGCTTTATCTTGTTTTTGTTTAGTGGAGCACGTTCTAAGGTGTCGGGTGCGGTTTTTTTTTTTTAAATTCCCTGAACTTCTGCTGCCTTCTGCGACGGGGAGTTTTTTGGCTGCGGGACCCTTTTTTATGAAATTTCACTTGGTGGCTTTAGGACACGCCTGGTGGCTGTACATTGAGTTATGTGAACCGCTTGGTCCCTCTGATGTGTGAGTGTTGAGCAGTTCTCATTCGGTTTAGGGTGCCGGGCACACTGAGCCCCACCGCGATCCTTTTCTTTTATGTTCTGCTTTTCTTTCTGATTGTGGGAAGAAGGGGCGGGGCCTCAGAGAGGGGGGCATTTTCCACGCGGAAGCGTTGGGTTAAAGAATATTTCTGTTTCACTTTGAGGAACGTTGTTTGTGTGTTTTTGTGATCATTTTTTTTTCTTTTTGGCTGCTGTATTTGTGAGTGTGCGAGTTTTTATTTCTTCACTTGCTTGCAGAGGATGGAGCACCAAATTGCGAAGAGCTGACGATTCGGACATGCGTTGCGGCACCCAGCCACGGGAGGTCGTCTGACATGTTCGAGCCTCATCGAGTGTATCGGCGTGAAAAGAAATGGGTATGCTTTCCCTTAGAACCCAGATAAGAATGCGTGCGCTCCGCTGCAGGAGAAAAGTTCATGGTTAACCCTTCCAGCATGACGGCAGACAATTCTTGCGTCCAGTGGCGTGTGCGGTTTCCTCGTCTCTCTCTTCCGATTGTATACCCTCCTTGCTTGTTGTGGAACGCGGTGATAAAAAGCCATGGTACAATTGATAGATGATCTGTTCCGCATGCGGATGCTGATGGCCGGCATTTATCTCGGGCTCGGCATTTCGTCCATGTACGGTTTCAGCATCTTCACGGATCATCTGCGGAACAAGTACGGGTATTCGCAAAGCGAAATCACGACAATCAGCACGGTCGGGATTTGCGTGGGCTACTGCGGGTTCCATGCCGGAGTGCTGTTTGACTACGTGGGTCCCACAGTCTTGCTTCCGCTTGGGGGTCTCTTTGGATGCCTGGGCTTTGTTCTGTTTGGGATGACATTTGACGGTACAATTACCACATCGAGCGTGGCGCTCTTTGCTCTTTACCAGGGAATTACCTGCCTTGGCCTTCCGATGATGGATGTTTCTTCTGTCATGTCGCTGATGCTGCAGTTCCCCTTGGAGCGCGGCTATGTTGTACTGATCGTGAAGACGTTCAATGGGCTTGGAACCGCAGTGCTGATGGCGTATTTCAACGGCTGTTTTAAGGCGGCCGACGCTGATCGAGCCGAGAACAACAACTACTCCGGCTACGCGTACTTTACTGGGGTGATGATTCTGCTGTGCTCCCTTTTAGGCGCGTGCTTCATACGGTTGCCGACGTACTTTCCGTGCTCGTGGACAAAAAAGCGTCTGAGCAGTGAGGAGGCCGCGGAGCGGGAAAAAACGCTTGACCTGTACATGAGCCAGCATGCCCCCACGCGGCGTCTGCGGATCGGGTTTGCAATTGTCGTTGTTACGCTGATCTTTTCCACCACACAGTCGATCACCACGGCGTACGTGAATACTTCCCGCGCGGGCTACTTGGCGATCTCGATCGTAGCGGTACTGTTGATGGCATCTTTTTCCGTAATTGCGATGCCGTTCCAGTTTTTGGGCCGCTACACGCCCGTGCGTCCCATGCATATGGAGGGCATCGGGGAGGCGACCACGGGGCTGGAGCATGAGCGGAAGGGCGAAACCGCATCTGAGGGTGCTATGGCTGACGGCAACAACCTTGGCGCGAATGGGGTGGCCGTGCCAGCGCCGCAGTACAGTGGTTCCTTCTGGTCCCACCTGCTCACCGTTGACTTGTGGGCGGTGTGGCTTGCTTGCTTCGGCATGTGGGGTACCGGCCTGGTGATGCAGATGAACGCTGCACAGATCTATCGCAGCAAGAACAACGGCAGGTTTGACACCCGAACGCTGACGCTGTACGTCGCCATCATGTCTGTGGGCAGTGCTGTTGGACGCATGGCCATGGGGTATCTCGATATGAAGTTGTCTGAGTTGCAGCGTGCAGGCAAGACAAGGACACTGACGACCATTGCGCTTCCCATTGGTCCCCTGCTGTTGGTGGTGGCGCACTTCTTCTTTGCCGTGCTACCGGGGAGTGTGCTGCTGCTGCCGTTTTTGCTTGGAGCCATGGGCAACGGCGTTGGCTGGGGTGTGGGCGTGATCGCTTTACGGATTATGTACTCTGAGGACATTGGCAAGCATTACAACTTTTGTTTCACGTCCGGTGCCGTTGCGTCTATTGCGCTGAACCGCTTCATGTTCGGGGAGATGTACGGTCGTGAAGGAGAAAAGATGGTTCTGTACCCTTTTCACTTTGTTTGTGAATGCGTGAAGGCAATTTTTTTGATCTGTTGGGGTTAAGCAAGCCGGCGTTCTCCATCCCTGTGCTCATGAGCCGAATATGTTTTAAATATTCTGCCTGACCGTTTCTGGAATTGATACTGGATTGCATCGATAATATTAATCTTTTATTGGATTTTCTGTGTGTGTGTGTGTGTCATTGTTTCCTAACTTCTTTTATAAAAGTTTATTAAGGCGTTTTTATGTACGATAGGAGAATTAATTTTATTTTTCAGTACGACGTTGTTATTTTGATGGTTGAAAGATGCAGTCGTTTGGGAGGGTTGAAGAGAATGCGTATTCCGCGTTTAGGCACTCAGTTTCAGTTTTGTTGTTTCTTTTGTTTGGGATTTTGTTGTGTCGTTGCCGCGGGTGTACTGCTGCATATATTAGCATTATCACTATTCATTTATTTGTTTTTGTGGTTACGGAGAGTCACAGCTAGAAAGCAGCGCGGTGAGGGGCAGCTGAGCGGGTTCAATGTGTGGTATATGCTGCACCCTGCGTTTGCACGGGCGGCGGGGCCTCCAGGACTTGGTGGTTTGCAATGAGGGCGTTGTCGAGCGTGCAGCGCTTTACCAGTCGGTGCGACGTCGTGGTCCGGATGCATTTGCGTCGCTGCAACTTGAAATTGCCCCTGGCGTGCATGTCGAGGCGGCAAGCGCTGTTCTTTGTTTACGCGGTGTGGGTGGCGGTGGCGCCATTGTCGCTGAGGGTTGCAGTGGCAAAAACCAAGGAATACCGCAGCCGGCGATGGCGGCACGTGACTGTTTCTGTTCACATGCACCATCATGTCTGTCGTTTCTTGAGTGGAATGGAGAAGTATTTGGTGGGGCACTATACTTGTCTCCGGGAGTCTCAGACACAACTGTTGTTCTTGACCGTCTGCATCAGCTGGAACACGGATTCACGGCAGAACTGTGCGATGGAACCAACGGTGCGGATGGAGTTTGTGGTGCCGCAGCTCTGGCCACAGCCCAGGCCTCTTTTGCGGAAGCATGTGTGCATTTCTTTGAAACTGACATTGAGGGGCCGTACGCCTTTGTGTACTACGCCCACTCCCTGCAGTTATTTCTGTTTGGCCGGGATCCACTTGGGCGACGCTCCCTTCTTTTGCATGTGGCCTCGACATTTCCAGAAAAGGGAGAGGGAGACGAGAACGGCGCCTCCGAAACCCATTCCGTGGAAGTGACGATATCCTCAGTGGCGGAAGGACACTTTGATGCAAGCTGCATGGTGGTAAAATCCGCGGGAAGAGGCAATAAACGCAGGAGATGTGAGTGTCGTGGCCAATCCGATGTGAGTGATGAGAATAACCATAGCGATGATGACCGTGCCGAGTCCTTCGTGGCTTTTCCTTCTTCCAGTTGCAGCTGCTGGCAGGAGATCCCCAACACGGGTCTCTTCGCCATTAGTGTGGCAGCGCCCCAACAGAATTCTCTGGTTTCCCATCACCCCTGGACGGTCGATCACGGTATACATCCATTACTGCGATTTCAATCTTGGCTGCAGCCCTCTTCGGCGACAGGAAGATTGAGAATGAAAGATGAAGAAACTGCTGAGGATGAGTACCCTGCGATTATTCGATGCCTTTTGCGGGAGAGTGGTAAGCTTTCCTTCACTTCGTTGAAGGAATTCTTGGATTTCGATCTCAAGATGGCTGCACGCTATCTTTGTGCTCTTTGGAGAGCTGTGGAGGTGCGTGTGAAGGCCGAAAACTGCGGTGATGATCCCACTCATCCAATTGGAGTGTTGTTTTCTGGGGGTATTGACTGCACCGTGCTAGCTGCCATTGCACACTACGTTCTACCCGTCACCACCCCTATTGAGCTAATCAACGTGGCTTTTGGAGATGTTCCAGAGCTCGCGCCCGATCGAGTGGCCACGTTTAGGGCTTTTGAGCAGCTGCTACGATTGCCAACACGTTTGAAGGAAGAAAATCACGAGATATTTTGCGCCAATGGCAGGGAATGGCGTCTTGTGCTTGTGGATGTTCCTCATAACGCCAACTTGTCTCACGTTCAGAGCCTAGTGTGCCCGGGATCCTCTGTCATTGACATGAGTATCGGTACTGCACTATGGCACGCTGCCCAGGGTTGTGGCCGAGTGCAGCGTGTCCGTGCCGAAGAGGAAATGGTGTCTCGAATGCGTTCAAAAAATTCTTTGTGCGGTCGCCACAAATTCTACCGAGTGTCAACGGAGGAGAAAAAGCCCTGCGAATTGGAACGAATTATCCCTACATGCGGGGACGCCGCAGATGAGAAAAAATTTGTCCCGTTGATTGAGGCTATCATCTCAGAATTGGAGGCGTTTAATGAGGAACCGTCATCTCCCGTGCTGTTGTCAACCTTGGGAAAAGATCACAGGACGACACTGCGTCCCGTGCTGACGAAATACGGGTACAAGAAACTGGGACCGTATCTCAACGACGCGTCCGCGGCTGGTTTGATTGCCTTTGCTGGGCGTGACGAGGCTCCGTCCAAAGCCGTGCGCCTGGTGAGGCCAGCAGAAATGGGGAAGGTGCAGCGAGTGGTTCCTGCAAAGTGGCTGGTTAGCGATTGTGATTTTTCTCCCTTAGGGTCATGCGCGGATAAATACACTTGCGAGGCTCGTGTTTTGCTCCTTGGGATGGGGGCGGATGAGACGCTTGGCGGGTACACTCGTCACCGTCGTGCCTTCGAGCGCCATGGAGTAAAGGGCTTGGTGGAGGAGCTTGGCCGCGATTTTGCAAGACTGTGGAAACGGAACTTGGGGCGTGATGATCGCGTGGTGTGCGATAGCGGGAGGGAGGGCCGGTATCCCTACTTGGACGAGGGAGTGCTTGCAACACTTGCTTCAATAGCGGCAGAGGCCTACCGATGCGCCATCGATACGACACACAGGACGACCGCTATTGCCGTGGATGAAGATAGGGCGCTGCAAGAGGCACTCGCGCCCGCGTGTTGTTTCACTGCTGAAGACGGTGCGCCCGGTGTGGGTGACAAGAAGATCCTGCGGCAGTGTGCGTCCATTTTGGGACTTGGCGATGTAGTGCGGCTACAGAAGCGTGCAATTCAGTTTGGTTCCCGTGTCGCACAGGCCCCTTCTTGACTGACAGCAAGCATTTTGGTGTAAATCTCAGATTAAAGGCATGGACGAGAAATATGCAGATTGGAGCGTGTTCTGTTCTGGTGGTGGGTGGGGGCACCACCTCATTGGATTCCATGGCTGCATTTTCCTCTTCTGATAGTGGGTCCTGACAGTCCCTCTCTTTTCCCGCTTTCTTTTTTGGGTGTAACAAAAGGTGCGGGGATGCGTGAGCTCTGACCCGACTGCAACGAAATAAAAAAAAAAAAAATAGAAGAAAACATAAAGTAAAGGAAGAATGGTAGTGCGCTTTCCGCCCAGTGGGTTTATGGGCCGCGTGGGCATCATTGGGGGGATGCCAGCTGCTGCGTTGGTCCTCACTTGCTCCTGCAGGTCATTCATTGAACACAGCTCAGACCCAAAGCGGTGGTGGAGTCCGGCGAAGGCGGAGGTCAAACGGCGCCACCCAGGAGTGAGACTTGGCTCCGAGTTTGCGCGCATACGGGAGCAGGGTGAACTGGAGCGGCAGCTTGTTGACGCTGACAGGTTTACAGATTGGAACATGGTGTCGCGCTTCGCAATCGGCGCTGCCATCCTGCTTGTGTTTCTTAACGTGATTGTGGAGATGGTGGAGCCAAACCCTCCACCTGAGTACACGCCATTTTCTCCGTTTTCTGAGCGTCATAAAAGAGATGGGGAGGAATGAGGTCAAATCTTCTTCCTTGCCTTTTTTAGTGGCTGAGGAGGAGACCAACAAACGCAAATTCCACTTTGGACACACACACACACACAGTGTATTTTTTTGCCCATTTGTATTGTTGTTAATATTGCCTTGTTTGTTTGTTTGTCCAAGTTTGTTTATTGTTGTTTTCTTTTCTTCCCGGAGAGGGGGTGTAGGAGTGGGTGGCTGCCCTTATTTGCTTATGCATGTATATGCCTCTCTTGACGGTGGAGCTTCGTGTATGTATATATATTTTATTTTTTGTGTATTTGTGTTCGCGTCTGGAGAAGGTGAGTTGAAAGATTGGAGAGTATATCTGGGAGGAAGAAGCATGCAGAGGCCTCTCTCGGACGAAGAGCGTGCGGCGAAGGAGGCCCGCCTGGCGGAGCTTCGTCGCCGAGTGAATACGCGGGACGGTGACTCGTTCTCGTCGGCGGCGGTTCCCGATCAACCCCACAACACTTACGCCTCCGAGGACGCACAGGATAGCGATGATTACGATGACGATGATGAATTCTTCCAGGAGGCAGAGCGGGCTCAGAAAGGCACGGCAGGCGTCTGCATGTACGCGAAGCCAATGGGTGAGTTGATGGGAGAGACGGTGGAGACGGGGCCGAACGCCAGGCGGTGCACCGTTGGCGACTTTGAACTGCTTCGCCTGGCGAAGATGGGGGATCTCCTTTCCTTCAAGGAGTTCTCGGCTATCGTCGGTATCGACCCCACTGCCTTTCAAGACAATCACGGACGCAATGCACTTCATTACGCGGCAGACAGTGGGGGTATTTTAATGCTTCAGTACCTAATCGAGAAGAAGGTGCCATTTACAAGGGATGAGAAGAAAATGACACCTGTTGACATCGCCGTGCTGAATCAACACAATGACGCCGCAAGGCTGTTGACCGAAAATTTTTCCGAAGCGGCCGAGGCGTTGAAAAACTATGAAGAGGCCCTTGAGATTTTCACGCAGCCGCCGCCGAAATTCACGATGTCGAAGCCCGCCCCACCTGTCCCGAAGGAGTCTCGTCCCCGCGTCTTTTGGAAAGATGGGGAAGCTGGCGCCCCTGACACCACGACAACGAATGGTGCGGACGCAGCTTCTTTTACGGTCTCGCGGCTTACGGATGCACATCACGATCAGGTTGTGAGCGCCCTGGGCGGTGTGGCCTTGACGTACGAGAGCCACGGGTTTCACAATTGGCTCCCACCCGCAGAGACCAAAACGCTGACTGCGACACTTCCCCACGCGACGGTGGTGGGTGCAATGCAAACCGTTGACGGCCAGGAGACCCTCCGCGGTGTGGTGCTAGCAGTGCCACTGGGTGGTTCCCTCGTGGGAAGGAACGGCGCTCTCCAGGTCAAGGATCCTGTGCTTGTAACGCAGTTAGCCGTCCACCCTGCGGCTCGGGGGAGTAACGTCGCCGCATTATTGATGGCGGAGTTGCATAATTTACTTAAAGCCTCTGAAAGTGCTGCTGTCGTTTTCCGCAGCGCACTCCAATTGCCCGTACCCGCCGTTGGTCTCGTGAAGTGGTCGCAGCGTTCAATTGCGCCTTGTAGCGTCATGCGGCAGCGTCACGCCACGGAAATTTTTCCTGACTTTTATCTGTACGATGAAATTCTTCGAGCCGACATCATCGCCAAACATGCCCTGACAAAAGCTTTTGGCGATAAGAAGGCATCACACTCTGTAGGCTGGTGTGCCGTGGATCGTAGCAACTCCGATCAGATGGAAATGTTGCATGGTTTTATTGTTGAACAGGTGCCAAAGCTGTTTGACCTTACCTACATTCCTGAAACAAGCGAGGACACCCTGCGAGCAGTCATTGCGGAGGGGCTTTTCCCCTTTGTGTACGTGTCCCCGGCAACCGGTGCAATCACAGATCTTGTTGTTCTGCGCCTGCGCAATCCCGAGTGGCGGGTGGGTGAGGGCCAAGGTGCTGCAATGTGTGTGTACGCCATCTTCACCTCCTTCAAAGGGCCCGAGAAGGCGGAGGAGGTACTCGTACTGAGCGAGATGTTGAAGTGCGAGACGGTATTCATTCCGAACATGTTTGGTTTTCTCGACAGTGACCTGAGCAAGGCGATGTTTGAGGAACTGCTCGTCTGCCGCGAGTACCTTTACGTTCTGAAGACACCGACAGAAAGTGCGCTGCCGCCAACGCCTCTTTCGAAGGTTGCCATTCCCTGCGCCTTTATTTAAGAGTGCTTGTGTGAAAAAACAAAACGAAAAGCAAAATGAGATTAAACAAAAGAAAGAAGGGGAATGTGTGGGTAGAAAATGATGGGGACGTGGGGGGAAGAGGGTCATCTCCTCGTCTTAACGGTAGCAAGGTAGGGCTAGTAGGAGTGGTGAGCAAGGGTGGGACTGAAATGTGATGGATTTCCATCTTTTTAGTGCGGTCACACTTTATTGGCGTGTGTTGTCATGATTACGCAAGGATATCGTCTGGCAGACGCGTCGGGCCTCCTCCATAAAAGACGGGAGGAAAAAAAGGAACAAGGGATATAAAAGAAAGGAGAAGTAAAAAATATAATGAGGCCGCACGTTTCGCGGACATCCAGTGATGGCGTGCTCTCTCTCCTTCCTTATGCACGCACACTGTGGAGCAATAACAAAGAGGGTTTGTGCATATTATATATATATATATATAATATGCACCTTTTTTTCGTCTTCTCCTTGTAAAATGTGTGCCAACCGAATGCTTTGTAGTGAAGCCTGTTGAAGCGTATACCAGGCGTGGCACACTTCTTCATAGGTGATAAATTCATTTTATTTGTTTTTTATTTTATTTTATTTGCGTTTGTGTGTTTGCGTGTGGGGTCATTTCTTATTCGTTGCTTTTTTATTTATTTAACACAAACGACATGGTTTTAGTTTTGTCTTTATTTTTTTTTTTTTTTGCTTTATTTTGTTGTTGTCTGTAGGAGTGCGGTATGAGGTTTATCAAATACGCTTGCAGAAGAGTCGCTCTTTCCGCGAACCTGCATCACGTGTGCAGCCGTGCCACTGATGCAGCTGTGGGGGCTCAACCTAAATCGGCTCTTTTGCTC